AAAAATTCTCAAATACATTTTTATGCCTGTATCCATGCCATTTTCTGAAGCAATACAAAAGGAAGCTACCTCAGTCTGGTGCCCTGAAAAATTAGGTTTTCAGGAGATAGATTTTTACATTGTGCCAGGAGAGGAACTTTGTCAAAATTCTTTCATGGGGTATGTTTTAATCTGTATTTGGGGTTTCTTTGTACCCCTGCTGATAATGGTTAATTTTGTGTGAATTCCGAATATATTCTCTGTTCTGTGGCCAGTCTGTTTTATGGCCCATTATATTCCTCTTGGTTTTTCAGCAACTGTGTAATTGCAGTAAATATTTCCATGTTTTCCACAAGAAGAAAATTTGAACAGTTATATAGCATTAGAATTCAGTTTAAATTGGATGACATTGCATTTATGGAAAGCAGCTATTTGCATTTTTATAATCAAAATACTAAAAACCTAAACCTTCTGGAAATTGATGATCTTCAAAACATTTCCTGGAAAAGCACTTGAATGTTGATCTTGATGTTGATAAGGCACTTGTGGTGTTGTAAACAATTGCAGTGAGCTAGGAGCCTCCTGATTGAGGAACCTGATTCTGCAGAGCAATCTCTTAGTGATGAGCACCATGTTTTTTGGCTTGTGGGATCTGTTAGTGTTATACAAACCCTTGAGTAATCTGTATTGTGAGCAATCAACAGAAAAGGTGTGTCTATTACAGAAAGGGGAGGGTTCATTGAAGCTCATGATTTTTTTTTTTTGTAGTCTGGGCTGTTAGGATTAGGGTTACACAAGAAGAATGATGTTCCTAATACTCTACTGGAGGTAGATTTAGTGTGTACATATGCTGGAGAGAGGCTGTGATGGGAGTGAGTGATGAAGGACAGGCAGTGGGGGAGCAACTGGCAAAGGAGCTAGAGGGGAATGTGTTTGCAAGCAATTTTTTTTCTGCTTTTTTGAGAAGTTACAGGGAATGGTCCTTTCTGTGCCAGCAGCTGTGGGTGGGTGGCAGTTTTACGGCCATTCAGTTGGATGGAATGGTCCCAGATGGGTTGATCGGACTTGTAATTTTACAGCTGAACTTATAAGGAGGCTGCTGTATGTGTGAGCATTGTGTGGGACTCAGGACAGGGAAAGGATGGCCTGATCACCCTGTGTGTAGTTTTATCATATGTGTAGTTTATTTTGTGTTTGGGTTGTCTGGCATGGTTTTTCTTTCAGTAGTTAGGTGGATGAAAGTATATGCAGAGTGTGTGGCCATGCCTTTGTTCTCTATGCCTTGGTCAACCCTTTACTGAGTTTGCATGAGAAATTGCGATGGCCTCACATCAGTGTGCACAAGGAGCCCAGTCAGAATTTGTTATTTTTACAGTTGTGCATAGCCTGAAAAATGTGACATGCGTATCACGTAAACAGGAAACAAATCTTGCAGGGGACTAAATGTAGCTGAAAACCTAATCTAAATAAGACTGTTAGTCATCTCCATATGGTAACCTTTCGGTGCCACACAAGTTTGGAAAATGTGCTCAATGAGTGTGTGGTTATCAGCTGTTGCCTTACACATTTAAATCTTTCTTTAAAATTGATCTGAGGCACAAATAGATTACATGCAGCAATTTTGAGTAAAAGTCTGCATATGTAAAAGTGTTTACACGGAAACTAGTTTACAGGCTGGACCTGTAGCACTAGAAATGAGAGTGAGGTTTCTTTGATCATCTGAGTTTCTTACAACAACAAATAGCTTAAATAACAAAACAAAAACCCATAGAAGTAACATACTTGAACTGTATTTGACAGCGGTCATTACTACTAAATACAGAGTTGTCATAAAAAGATAGATTACAGTGTGTTTAAAAGTGCTGGCCAATATGGAAGTAATAGCTGGCTTAATTTCCTCAAATCCTCAGAAAGAATACTATGTAATACAGCAGTAGACTGATACCCCCCTTCTTATCATATAAAATTTTGACACTGTCAATTTCTGTGTTTTCATGTGTATAATCTATGGGCGATATTTTGTCTGTTTAGTTTTTCAAATGCCTTTGGAAGTTCCTGCCTTGCATTCCTGCTCCCTCCATCCAAAAGCTTTCCACCTCTGAGTTCTTACGGAGCTGGAAAAGAGCAGGTGTATACAAGTGGAGTACAAACTACGTGTGATACTGTGAGAAAATATTTAGTGTATACCTGGGAAAACAGTTTTATATATGTTTAATAAGAGTATTCTATGTATTGCTAGTGAGAAGTGTAGCTTCCAGACTGCAAGTCTGATATGCTTAACCTGGAATTGCTGGTTTACTACTGAAGCAAAAAATAGCAACATGGGAATTAAATTGTAAGTTACTTTCCTTATAAAAGGCAAATCGTACAAGACCTTGAAAATATTGTCAAAGTAGGAATAGAAAACAGTGATTTTACTTGGCTCATCACAGTTTTCTTGTGTGTAGCAGTTCACACTCCTAAGTCGCTGTGATTTGAGGATAACAGTCAAACAGGTGAGTCTGTGGTGTTTGTTGGAGCTGACTGTGCTTGTTGCTCTCTTTTAGCAGTATCTGTTGTGAGTTGTGCACGTATTATATTCCCTGAATGTCAAAGTAGAATGTATCTGAAGTTACTGTACTTGAAATATAGAGGTCAGTCCCATCTTAACAGAACCCGGTGAATTTGCTGCTAACTGGTATAGCCATTGCATAGGTCCCAGTTCTTCATGCAGTGCTGAAATTGTCTTGCATTATAGGTGCTCATACTCTTTACATATATTGAAGCACCTCTAAGCAATTGTTATGCAGTACAGTGATTTGGAAATACTTTTTTAATAACAGAGCCAAGCTTGGGGTGCGTATCACTTCATTTATTAATGTTTTGTGTTGTCTCATCAAATGTGTTGAAGTGATGATCTCATTTTATTTTTGTCTGGAAAGCTGAATGAAGAGAGATTAAAGGAAATGAGAGATAATAGTCTTTATATTCATTTTTTCCTCTTTAAATAAGGTGCAGAGAGGTGCTTCAATCCTCACTACCCAATCCTCTAAACTGATTCTGTCCCTAGGGGTCCTGCAGGAGGGAAGGGAAAGGTCTGCATGAACTTACTGGCATGTGTGGTTTCCTTCTGGCTCAATCTGATTCAGTAACAGGAGAAGGTCTCGCAGTGGAACAGATCCCAGTGATTGGTTTAAAATCTTGAGGGTTTTGAGAATATTGGGAAAACAATAACAAAAGCAAAAAAAAAAAAAAGCAATAGTCATCAGGGAACTCAATGGCTTTGTAAGTTACTTGCTTTACATCCAAGAAAATGTCTGCTCAGGCTTTGGCCTCCTAGCACACCTCAACAGCACTGTCTCTGGCTGCTTGCTTTTCTGAGAAGCCTTCGAGGAGCAAGCTGTAGGTGGTGAAGTTTTTTGGTTTTTTTTTTTTTTTCTTTTGAGGGGGGAGTAGGAAGTGATTTTTATCCCCATCTTTCTGTTTTGACTGGCTACCCACACCCTTTTCAGGATATTTACAGGAAGGGACTGTTGTTGGTAGAACCAACTCAGCCTGCTTTCAGATCTGGGTTTGAAAAATGCTCATGAGGGCAGAGAAGGCAGAAGCAGCAAGGGTTTGTCTAACTGAGTAGTTGAGAGTCAGAGACAGCTTGTCACTTGTTAATTACCTTGTTTTTGCTAATGCTCTTTTGGATACTATCTTTAAAGAGAGTGTGAGTGGAAAATGTGGCTTTTTGCGTAAATATTTGAGAGCAGTTATTCCAGGAATGTTGTGTATTACATCTGATTGAACCCTGTATGTGTTACAGATGTGGAGAAGTGCAGTAAGTCCCATTCAGGTGGTGGGTTAGTTATATCACGTGGTCTTTCTGATAGTGTATGATACAGGCAGAAGGACTGAGTACAAGAATTCAGTAAAACTCAAATGGAAGGTATTTTGAAGTCTCCCTGTGTACCATTAAGTTCTTAACCATCTTTGTAGTTAGTTTCTCCTATTTGGTTTAAATTCCTTTTTAGTCTGCCTTTGGTGATGCAGCAAATTATTTGCTGTCATTTTGATAATGCCTTACACCTGTGAAGGTGTGCTCCTCCTGCCCTTTGTCCTACTTTTCTAGTTCTCCTTTTGACAAAAAAACCTCAATTTTTGAATTTCTCTTGAAAGCTTTTCTTAATAAGCATTTACTGTTCTTTAAGCAAGCCTTGAAATGTTTATCTGACAAGCATCTGAGAATGATTCTTGAAAACAACAACAGAACCTTCAATGGTTGCATTAAAGTGAAGGGGAGAGGTAAAATATATTTTTCCCCTCTTATTTCAGTGAAAAATGCACGTGCTGTCATCTTGTTCTTGATGCTCAATGAAGGAGAAAATTAACAATTTTGTTTTGCAGGTCAGACTTCTAAAATTTGATCTTTGCAGTATAGAGCATATGAATTATGAAAGCGTGTGGTTAGTTAGCTAACATTAGGTCTCTACTTGCAGTCTTATTCCAGAAAGGCCAACCATAAATTTCTCAGAAATAACCTTCACTAAAACACATGCTTTGCTGTTGTCTAAGTTTCGATGAGACCAGTCCTCATTAAATAATGCAGGAGTGTTTGTGTGCATTGTAGGAACATCCAGTGATGAAGTTGCCTGTCGGAGTTCATTATGTTTACTATATTGCTGATACTACTTAGGGAAAGTTTTATTTAAAATAACTAAGTATGGGATTTTTTATTTTACGGTTAAGAAACTTTGTTTACCACCTGTTTTAGCATTTAATACTGCAGTTACAAGAAACAGACTTAACTATTTAGACATATAAGTATCTTCATAGTCTACACTATTAGTTCTATGTAGTGTCCTGCAATAACTCTGTCCTGGGGCTTTAACTAGTGAATATTTGCTGTTTTTTTTTGCTTTCTGTGATGTAAAGATGAGACTTCATCTACTGCACACATTTCTAGGAAAAAAGAAAAGGCGACTTATAATGTTAAAAGTCAGTAGAAATAAACGAGAAGAGCTTTTTTTATTACTGTTGTTTATTTATAATAGTTAGCAAGACCAGAAAAGAGTGAAGACCAGGTTTTCTTTTACTTACATTGACTTTCAAAGCCCCTGAGATACCGAGATCGATAGTTTCATACTTGGAAACAGTAGCTTTTTAATGGGGACAAATGTGATAGCCTGCACTACAAGAATAAACAACTACATGAATACAGAGACTAGATTGAAGTGAGCATCTTTAGTGGTTTGATTTGGCCTATTTGGCTTCTGCTCACAATTTTGCAATGAACCTGGAGGTAAGAGAGAACATGTGGCTGTTACAGTGAGTTGTGTGGGCTCCGAGGCACTTCTCTGTACTGCCAAGGGTTGGTGGTGATTTACTGAACACAGTGTCTAGTTGGGTATTGTGCATCAGAACACATGATTGAAACTGTCCAGAGGAATCAATGTGAATGATGAGGAACACATAGAATGTGACCTGGGAAGAAAGGCTGACTCCTCCACTGAGTGTTTCTTCAGAGATGACAGCAAAGGGGCAAGGAGTGTTTAATTTCTCAAAACATGCACAGTAAGGTATTCTGAAGTGGAAGAGTTTATTGCTTTTTTCCCCTTTACAGAGAATGGGACAAGAAATAGTGGTCTTAAACTGTGGAGATTGGGATTAATGTGGATTTGGTACAGTTCTGAACAGTAAAAGTAGCAAAATGCCATAACAAGTTGTCTGGGTGGTTTTGGAGACTTGACCATTGGAGATAGCTAGAAAAATTCCTGTTGGGAATAGAACAGGTGTCTGTGATGCTTCTTGGATACTTGGAGAGTTGGAGCACTCCTGGGATCTGGTTCAGTTGCTGGCCTTTTCAGAATGGACAGTCTGAGACAATGCCAAATTAGAGGCAAGTGGGTGCAAAACTAGAAAATTTTAAAGAGAAACAGGTACAGCTTTTGATATCTGACTATTGGTTTCTTTCTATGGTACTGTGAAGCAGTCTAATATTGCCAGTGGATTAGCTTTTATCAACAAAATAGCTGTTTCTGTTTGCTGATACACTAAAATAGAATATTTGTTTAGAAAGAAAAACTTTCTGTCCCTCCTTCCTTTTATTTCTAATATTGCAAAACAATTGAATGTGGTCTCAAAATGAAGAAGGGTACTGATGGTGAATCATCTGAGGTGAATCATAAATTGTTTCATTCTCACCGGTATAACAAAAAGATATTGAATAAATATTTATGGTATATGACAACTGCATACCTTTTATATGAAGTTTGAAACCTGTTCCCTGTACTACTAATTTGTGTAGGTCTCCTAAACACGGAAATAGAACTACTGGTTAAAACTCTGTATTTTGTCTGTCTTTTGTAGGAAATAAGATGACATCAGTATATATATCCATAGTAGGATATTGTACCATAACATAACATATTGTAGGGAGATCACTAATTTACTGCAGCAATTATAGAAAAGGAAACAGCAAAATTCTGTTGAAAAGGCTGAAACTGATTGTAAAGGTTCTCCTAAAGGATTACAGCCCATTGCCACTGGTCTTACGTGAATAAGCCAACTAAGATGGAACTCATGCTGGCACATGTGTCACTTCACTATTTCACATTCTGAATCCAGCTGAATGATCCCACATAAATGTTGAATGAGATTCTTCCTCAGGTTGTTAAGACGCTGCTGTGACCAAAGAGGATAGATTTGTCATTGTGATGATGAGGTAATAATAAATTCTTTTGTGTTCAGAATGTATCCAAGCTGTGTGACTAAAATACATAGCATTAGCTTCCCCTCCTGGCCAAAAGAAGGAAATGATCTTGGAGGCAAGATACGCGTGAATTGTTTATCATTTTTGTTTCTATATGCTAAAGATAGAAATTATTTATTATATAGCAGAAATAGCACTTAATTGCCACTGAGGGGGAAGGACAGTGCTGGTGAGACACAGTTTATTGGAACCATAATATAATAAAGGAATGAGAGAGGGTGACTTTTGGAAAAGAGTTCTTTTCTAAATGAGGGCCTAATTTGTAAACTAGATCTTAAAAAAAAAAAAAAAAAAAGCAAATTTTGAATGGTAGAGTTCCTGGTGTCCGTGTTAGATTCCTGTCAGTTGGTGCTAGAAACAAACATTTTCCTGCATTTTGTATTCTAGATGTTGATTCCAATGTAGCTGAATCTGTTATGGATGTTACTTTTATTTTGTAATTTACCTTTTTTTTTTTGCTTGCTTGCTTTGTCTTAAAATTTTAAACACTTATCCTTTATTTTCATTCTGTGGCATAATATTTTGTAGCATTAGCATAAGTTTTGTAAATGCTGATATATGTCAATGCAATGTAAATGCTGATTTATGTCAGATATACTGACATAAAGGTGTTTATTTGATGGCATAGAGGAACAATGCACAACACAAACTGACATTTTTTAAAAGCCATTTCTAAGTTAGATTACCAGCCCTTTGCAATGTTGTGTTACTACTGTTTTGGATAAGTTGATCTCATAACATTGAATCTTAGACAAAGATGAAAGATTCTTCTCTATTTGCTATGGTTGCCTGGAAAGGAGACATTTACAGTGCAAAATTTAGTGATCTTAAGAAGACTGAAGCTTTGCATAATGTGGGCCTATTGGAGAGTAAGCATACGAGCACAATGTGCATTGCACTTACAAGGAACCAAAAGTACTTGCAAGATAAACAATAGCCTCATGTTTAAGATGTTTACATGGACTGCAGGAATCAGGCTTACCTGTTTCTATTGGGAATTTGGCCTGAACTGCAAATATTTAATTTTTCCTATATCTTGGATTGTGCTAATTTCATACCGATCTAAGGAATTTTTTTTGCATACTGGAGTGGGAGAAGAAGGCAGGATTTAGTCCCTTGTAAGCATCAGCCTTTGGTACAAACTTTGTCAAGTCTGAAAGAACTTGGAAATTGCCACCAATTAATGATTTCCATAGGCATAAAGTTGCTGGGAATGAGGATGCTTTATAGAAGTCAAGCACCAGATTTTACTATGCTTACTGTATTTGAATATGCTTGCTATGATTTAATTGCTATGCTGAAAATAATCAGGAGGCAATTAATGGTTTCCTTTCCAGCTGTGCAGTGATGCCCTGTGTGAGAAATATTTTAATATCATGACTCACTGGAGGCTGTGGAGGAAAATGTACTCCTTAAACTATTTTTTTTTTAATTAATACAAAGAAAAAATGATAGTATTTTATGGGCAATATTTTACTGGCAAGTGACTTAGCTTTCCTGGCTTATAATTCTTAAGAATGAATCAGTCTTGGACAACATAATTTAGTTTGCTTTTACAAGCAAACATAAGAAAACATAACTGCTTCTAGAAGATAAACTTTTTAATCTTTTACATTTCATTTAATGCCAGGCAGTTCATTGTGAACAGTTGGAAAAACTTCTGTATGATCAGTAGGAAATTTTCCTTTAGAGGGTGTGATGCAATTTCTTATTAACGTGCAGTTATAGCTCAGTTAATACCAAAAAGACAACTTGAAGTCACTGCCCTAAAATTCTGTGAAGAAATTCAACAGACAGCTTTAGCAGCTCTCACAGTGTTACCGCTCCTTTCTAGCATGGGTACAGTGACTCTGCTCAACCATTAGAGTCGTTTCCTGTTTGTAGGTTGCTAGTTGAGAAAGCTGGGGTAAGGCTTTTGTCCCCCAGACCTAACCAAAGGGCTGACTTGTGCTTCTGTCTCAAAGGCTTTACACAGTAAACATCTGGTTGTGTAACTGTTAATGAGCCTTTGGGGATTTGGAGATTGTTTCTTTTAGGCTCTTTCCTTAACTAAGTCACAAACATATCATGAGCCAAGGCTTTGGGTTTTGCATTTAAATGGGTGAACTTTCTGATGCGAATGTTTCCTGCTGTATTTTTTTTTCAGATGTCCAATTTTCTTTAAAATGATGCAGAAGGATTTTTTTTTTAAGTTCTGAAACGGTTCTTATTCGAAGTTTTATGCTCTTCACTGAAAACAAGGCTGGTAATCGGAAGATGCCTTGCTTAGTGTTGCTCTGTGAAGCTCAGATTAGTTTAGTCTTCTCTGTGTGCGAACTGGAATGAATTGAGGACTGTCCTCTGAAACAAAGAACAAGCAGTCATTCAGTCACTGCAGTTTTAGTTTGTACTGAGTAGGGACTACTATTATTCTGTAACTTACCTATACCTGACACATTGGCAGGATTTAACTTGCACCAAAGATTAAGGCTGGCTTGTTGCTTGTGGTTGGCAGTGGTAGGTTGCAATAGACAACCCCTCTTGGTGCATTGGGATGTAGTGCATTTGGCAGCTGTGAAAGGGGAAGAAGTACTGTGTTGCTGTCTCTGGGAGACAGGTGTATAGTGTTTGGGGAAGAAAGCTTGATAGTTTGGATGCTTAGTATGGATCTCTGTTATGTCAGCCAAAATGTTTAATGTGGTCTAAGAAGTATGGTTTTATTTTTCTTGAACTAACTATATTAGCAATAAAACCACTAGTCTGGTTGTAATCATACTAGCCAAAAGCATGCATTTGCAATTAAACAGGGTGAACTATGAGAGGCAGAAGGGAGAAAAGTTGGAGCACATGAGTGAGAGAGAAAAACAGACTTTTAACACAGTACTATAAGTGCAGTGTGAGTAGGCAGTGTAGGAATTGTCACTGAATTTGTTTTTCATAATGGGAAGATCATTTAGTAAGATGGCATAGCAGAGAAAGGGAATGGCTGAGCCTTCTTATAAATATCCCTCCCATCCTTGCAAGGGGAGAATGAAGTGGTGTGGAATAAATGAATAAAGCCTTATCTCTGCATAAACATCATTTCTTGTAACATGAATATAATTATCTTGTAACCATAACCAGTACTAAGTGTAGCCTTGCTGAACTGCTAAACATCTAGAGAGGGGGACCAATCCAGGTAATTCCTACATATAGCAAAAGTACATCTTCATACACTCAGGAAAAAGCTGGTGGGTTTCTGGCTGGTGCTGTTCATGTAATTATGCATCTTGATGTAATTTTTTCTCAGCGTTTTTCATTTACATCATTGAGGATTTCACTTTTGTACGTGCCTTTGCAGCATGTAGCTTATAGCTGTTTCCATGAATGTGTTAAATGCTGACAATAATGTGCACAAAAATTGCTTCTGGACTTCTTAAGAAGGAGATGAGCAGAGCCGTGGAAATCTGAGCTCTTCCAGAGAAGGGAAGAACAAAAGGATCCAGCTGAAACTGCATGGGGAAGCCGAATTAAATGGAATGTAAATTTGCATGGTAGAATTAGGCAAAGATGCTAATGGTATTACTGCTTGTGTTGCAACAAGTTACAGAAGACTCTTTTTTTTTTTCTTTTATTTTGGGATCCAGTTGCATATTTTGTTCAAAGATATGTGCATCCCACACCCCTCTACTCCATTTCATGATGCTTTTTAACAACTTGTAGCAGGACTGTTATAGTACTGGCTCAGAACTATGACTGTAATTTTGTAAGTAATCAACAGTACATGTGTGCCAAGAGAGCTGTGTATGTTGGAGGTCAGAAAGCACAAAACAGTGGTTCTAACCAAAATGTGTTGGAGTGGGTGTAATAAAGACCAAAAAGAGGCATGTCTGGTCATGTACATTAAAAGACCACATGGGAAACATGAGGACGCTATACTGGGACAGAGAGTAGATCAAGAAGATGAAATATGGTCCAGCTTCTATGGAAGCACTTAGTCTGTTTTATGTGAAGTCAGAGTAGGATAAGATCAGAGAGGCAAGGAAAGTGCACAATTGCAGGAGACCTGTGCAATCTCTGTTCCAGTGCTCTGAGAGAACAGGTGAATGTAAACTGCAGTGCAATACAGAGTCTGTCTGACGTGGGGAGACTGTCTAAAACTGGAGTTTAGGAGAGGAGGATGAAAACAGCTCACTTAAATACTGGTTCAACCAGGAAATCCCAATTGTTCAAGTGTCTTGAAGTGGTTCTTCCAGGAAAAGAATTGTAGAATACACCTGTGGTTTCTCATGGTCATATCAGAATGAAGTGCAGCTGCTGGCATAGAACACCGCATGTTCTGAACTGCGGAGTGCACTGTTTAATTCTGGTCCATAAGATGACTGTACACCAAAAACTGAACATTCTCTCCTTCACTTCTCTGATTTCTTGAACGTTTAAAATGCGGTCGTTGAGCTTAATGAATACAAGGAAGAAGTATAAACGACTAAATAGTCGGGCTTAAGCATTTCTTCTCGAAGAAACATGTAATGGTCGTGCAGAAATTCCGATTAGCCGTTTGCAAGACGTCAGGAGTTGAATGCGGTTTTGCAGTCCCCTCCACCGTCAGCAGCTGCGGGGCTCTGACTGGGCGCCGTTAGTGTCTAACGGCCCCTCACGCGCCATCCCCGTGCCGGTCGTAACGGCTGCGGCTGAGCGCGAGAAGCGACGCGCGCGCCGCGCTCCCTCAGAGCAGCCCCTACCGGGCGCCGCCACGTTTCCCGGCGCCGGGGCGGACTCTGCTCGGGAGTTCCGGCACGGTATGAAGGCGTCACTTCCCCGGGGTTGGGGCGGCCGCCGGTAGGTGCTGCGGGCTGTCGCCGGTGAGGGGACGGCGGGTAGCGGCGCGGCGCTGCGGTGTGCGCGCCCCTGAAGGGCTGGCGCGTGGCGGTGGTCCTTCACCGACCGTCGGTCCCAGAGGCGGGAACGGAACGGCGTGGGCGCCGTCCTGACCTGCGGGAACGTCGCCGAGAGGCAAGCGGTTGTGGGTGCCTCTGGGGCTCGGGCCGCTGCTGGCTGGGCTCGGTCGGAGCAGGCTCACAGCGTATCCGTGCTATGCTAAATGCTGCTAAACGTTCTCGTGTCGTGGCCGTGCTTTGTCTGGAAATAACGCGTCGTTAGTTTGTAAAGCCCTGCCCTCATCAAAGTAAAGCATGTGCCGGCTTAACGTGTGCGAGGGTGGGTTTGCTGTGCTTGTTCCTAGGTCTTTAGGCTGGTCTGTGCGCTGCTGGAGGCTGTTGTACTTTGAAGTGCTTTTTAATTATCTGATTATTCAGCAAATAATGCCTTCATTTGTTACGTGCGGTAATAAAGTGATGTGATGCTATTGATGATTCCATAGCATTGTTTTTGTCCTTGTTTTGTTTTGTTTTTTCCAGTGGGAGTAGAGAATGATCTTTTTTGCTTAAGATGGTAGGCTGAGATGAAATAGCTGATGTGTGCCTGCGTATGTGTTTTATCCACATCCTCACGAGCACATTTGAGTTCTTAGAAGGAAGTAAAAACGTTTTCCTCTCTCCTTAGGGTTTCTGCAAACCGAAGTGCAGTGATATATCTCTGGTACTCCAAACAAAATGAAGATCCCTTCTGTACTGCTGAGATTCCCTCATCGTTATTTCTCTAAAAGAACTTACTTCAAGAACTTGACTTGCATTTCCAGATCAGATTTCCTGTGCATTGAGTCTCTTACACCAGTGCACCTACATTGTTCAAAACAGATGTGTTTGTCAAAGTGTTTGAGCAGAGAGCTGTGTTACCAGAGTGCCCCTGAGCAGGAAGCAGAAGGGCTTTCCAACAGAGAAAAAGGACTTATAGACAGACTTTACAATGGGCTCGTCCAGGGTCACAGAGCCTGTTTAGCTGAAGCCATTACACTTATAGAATCAACTCAGACTAGGAAAAAGAAAGTAGCCCAGGTGCTCCTTCAGAAGGTATTATCCTACCACAGGGAACAAGAAAAGTTAAATCAAGGAAAGCCGCTTGCCTTTAGAGTGGGTTAGTCCTTTTATGCCTGTTCAGTAGTTGCTTTGGCAGAATGACAGTGTTCACCTTTCATTATCACTATTGTAATTTAAACGTTGTCCTCTGTAATTTTGCATTGTTAGTTTCTTATGATTTCTGATAATTCTGATTGCTTCTACTGCCAGTGAAGTTATGGCTTGGGCTGGAAAAGTTCTTGAAGGAACTGTAGAAGTAATTTATGCTTCTTTAGTTGTTGTGGGATAGTTATTGTTGTGGATTGTTTGTTTTTTCTATTTTTTTTATTTGTTTTATTTTTATTTTTTGTTGTTGGTGGTGTTTGTTTTGATATGCATTATGAACTGAAATGCTAGGTAGTTAGCAGATTGATGTAGCTGTCATCTAAACTTAGGGAAGAACGTTGCTAAACAGATCTGGTCTTATCCCAGAGTTCGTGTTTTCTTTGAGTACGTTCTGAATTCTTTCAAAAAATCCATAAGAAAAAAATATGTATCCTTCTGCTTTATTACATTGCCTTCAAGCAGCAACTTTTCATCTGAGGAGAGTTGAACCTAGTTCTCTTAGAAACTCTAGAATGTTCTTCCCTTGTGAAGGAGAAGAACTTGTCATGCCAAGTTGCTATCTTTCCTGTGTACAAAAGCATTAAAAATGAGAATTTGAGCGTGGGAAGCATGAGAAATATTTAGTCAAATTATCAAGCTTATCTTACATGCTTTGAAATGCTGGCAAATTGCCCAGTAGCCCTTCAAAGTAAATCTGAAAAATAGAGTTTTAGGTTATTACTTTTTTAAAGTTTGGGGCTATAAGCTATTGTAGTTATGTTTCTTGGAAGGGAGGAAATAGGGCTGGATGAATACGTAATAGTATGGATAGCATGAGGCGTGCTGAAGTCAGCATTGCTGTCTTGGATGAACCAAGGTGTATGTTAAGCTAATTACAAGTGCTTAGTTGGGTATATCAATCATGGCACATCCTTTTATTTATCTTTGTTGTGATATAACGTGAATTGTTTTCAAATTGTCATTGACAGCGTTTATGTGGTGTGTTATTTATTCTATTAACAAGGTGAGGCTTTTGTGTCTTCTTCCTGTTTTCTTAACGTGCTTATTTAGGGTTATCTGGTCCTCCTGGTGCTGGGAAATCAACTTTCATTGAATGCTTTGGGAAAATGCTTACAGAAAGAGGACACAAAGTGTCAGTGCTGGCTGTTGACCCGTCCTCTAGTACAAGTGGTGGTAAGTAGGTCTTAATGTTTCAGTCAGGTTTCTAATATATTTTGAAATGTATAAATATCTCTTTGGGGCAAATGCAGGATAAGTTAGGGTGCCTATAAGATATTAAAAACTAACATTATGTCAGTTTTTTCATTTTTCCCATACAATGTGAAATTGAGAATTAGGCACCAATGTCCTGATTTTGTCACTTACTCTTACTCTTCTCCAGTATTTGAATGCTCTTTTATATCTTTTTTTTTTTTTTTTTTGGTCTGAAACTATAGTTAACTGCTGTTTTTTCTCTCTCAGGTTTTATTTATCTGTTTATTGGCATTAATTTTAATTATATTTCAAAAGTGATAATGAGGATCACTAGGTAGCAAGCACATGCCTGTTTATAACTTTAATTTAGAGTATACTGCTATCCAGATGCATATATTAGCTTGCAATAATTCTCAACTCATTAGTTTTCGATAAGAATTTATAGATTTGAGATGACTGCCTCAGTGTCACGGTCTCCTGCTGCAGTATTGTTGCAGTTTGGCGGACTTGTAGTGCAGATTGGTGGTTTTTTAAAATTTGAGATTCTTCAGGGTTGTGTGGCTGTAATCTGTTGCTCTTAAAACGAGACTTTGTTGGAAGGTGCTGCAGTGGAACTATTTAAAAAGAAACAAATTTCAGTCTACAATGACTTAGAACTAAGAAGGATTATGTTTGTGTGTGTGTACATTCAGGACACATCAGTAGAAAGGCAATATGCCAGGATTGTACCGCTTACGTGAACTGAGCATCTCTCATCTTATGGAACGTATGTTAAACAAGTAAAATCCAACACCACCAACAAATACCAGGGTCATAATGTGGGAATTTGTCTTTTTGGAAAGAAACGGTAAAGATGAATTTTGTGGCCTGCTATGTGTAAGCCACAAAAAAAGCTATTTAGAAATTTCAGAATCTGCTCTGACCTAGAAGAAATTCTTCATATTTTGTAGGAGTAAGATCTGCTTGTCAGGCCTTTCCAGCTTCTGAAAAGCCAGGCAGTAACTTTTTTCTGCGAAGAAGAGCCAGTAACTTTTTCTTGCTCGTTTCAGGGGTGGCAGGGAACAGGAAAGGGAGATCTGAATGTTTTGCACATTTAATAGTAAAATAGTAAATTTTTAAGGTTCTTTACTGGGTGATAAAACGCGGATGACTGAGTTGTCAAGAGACATGAATGCATACATCAGACCATCTCCAACCAGGGGGACATTAGGAGGTGTAACAAGGACTACAAATGAAGCCATTCTGCTGTGCGAAGGAGGAGGCTACAATGTTGTTCTTGTGGAAACTGTAGGTAGGTGCTTAGGATTTTTTTCTAGATATCCTGCTCTGATATCTGTTATCTAATGTGTCTCTAACTTGAAACATTGTTATCTTTCGTCTTGAATTTTGCTCCTGCTATTACACAAGGTCACTGGGTAAAAATGGATACCCACTGTCAAGATGTGCAAAACTGTTTATTTGTTATAAGTGTTATAACAATTATTTGTTATAAATGTTGTCATTAATGTGACTGTGAAAGCTTGTCAGAAGTGGTAAACTTTGGATTTAATTTTTCAGGTGTGGGACAGTCAGAATTTGCTGTGGCTGATATGGTTGATATGTTTATATTAGTGCTGCCACCCGCGGGTGGTGATGAATTACAGGTATTTTTGTTGTTCTCTTTTTAAGTACTGCCTAAGCTTAGAAAGAGAAATTTAAGTCTAGGAATGTAGTCTATGCAGGAAGTTCATTTCAGTAGCATTTTGTCAATTACACTGCTGTTACTGGAGTCTTTTCAATGTCTTACCAATTTATCACACAATTGGGATCTGATTTTTTTTCCATATGTAGGAAGTGCTGGGTTGTAAGATTTTGATATTTACTGGCTATATATGATTTATTGAAGTGTTCTTTTATTTCAGGAAAACAATATAACTAGTTTTTCAAACTTGGTCATGTTTTTGTTAAACTTAAGTCTCTGTGCATAAAATAGTCACTCATGCAAACTCTGGTATCCATATGTAGCATCCCAGTGTCAGAATAATAACTGGTGCTGATAGAGGCCACTGGTACAACTATTGCATGACTAGTATATCCAACCACCCTCCAGCAGGAGCCACCAAAACCAAGCTTTTCTGACCCGCTTTCCATCATTAACTCAGTGCGTTGCAGCTATTCTGGTATTCATGATTTCTCTCCATACTCTGTTCAGGGTATCAAACGGGGTATAATTGAGATGGCAGATCTAGTTGCTATAAATAAAGCTGATGGTGATTTAATTGTGCCTGCACGGAGAATACAAGCTGAATATGTTAGTGCTATGAAACTGCTTCGCAAGCGTTCGAAGGTTTGGAGACCAAAGGTGTGTATACTTTGCTATGGCATTTTTGTTGAAGTGTTTTGTTTGTTTTTGTTTTCCCAGAAAGTGTTGAATGATTTACAGGTGTTACTGTCTCACCTAGTTGTATAAGTCTGTCTGAGCTCTTTTATAAGAAGTTTAGTATGATTGCTTAGCTTTTTTAGACTGTATGAGAGGCTTGTTTGTTGCTGTTTCTATTTCACCTCTGATCTCAAGGCATGCTGCATGAGGCACTGCAAAGCCATGGTTCTGCCCGCTGTGGTTTCTGTTGTGAGCTACAATCTCAGTGCTAACAGACCAATTTCTAACATAAGTTGTAGTTATACTACCTTGTCTTGCTTTTGGCAAATTATGCATATCTTAAAATGTCCTGTGAGCTATTTTTTCCCTTCTTATAATTCTCAAACCTATGATTATCTTTGTTCTTTGACTTGTTCATTTTTTGCTTCTTTTTTAAAACACGTAATAGAAGTTCTTATGAACAGGAACCTCACCTGATTGTATGTACAATGTCTAAATTATTGGCTTTGTCATCCCAAGTCCTTTTAGTATTGGTGTGTTATCTTATATATTAAAAGGTAACAGTAAATCATTAAGAAAAAGATTCAGTACTAATATAAGTAGATGTGCACGCATTCTCACTCTGTATGTGAATATATGAAGGAGATTTGCTCTACACTGCCTAAAACCGATCCCTTGAATTAATTTTACATCAGCTGAGCTGCCTGAGGCTTAACCATTGTTTTGTCACGTTTGTTTCTAGATCAGATTAGAGTTGCTAGTCATTGTGATGAGAAATGCAGTGACTGAAGTTAGTGCAGAAGAGTTTCTAATACTGAATTCTCTTTCAGATAAGATTTTTAACAGTGTAAATTGTTGCAAGCGTAATCAGATACGTTTCTTTGCTTTTCATTGCTCTGTGTGTTTAGTTCATCACCTTCTTATAAGCAGCTGATATTTCTGCATGGGTTCCTGTTTGTTCAGCCTTATAAATGTGACCCAGAACACCTGTTTGAGACCAGAATTAAACAGGTTATCAGAAATCTGTCTCTGTTTCAGTGATGGCATTGTTTGACTAAAAAAAAAAAAAAGGAAATACTGATGTGTAGGGACTTCAGCCATCAGATTGGAGGGATTTTTTTCTTAGAAAAGATAAAAACAGTTCAGTTTAAAAGGTTCTGTTGGATGTCTAAAATACTGCAGCAGAATGAATTCCTAGTCTGGGAAGCATATGTAAAAAGAAGTTTAACATCTCGTTTCCAGAATAGTTTAAGTGCAGAAGGGTAGCTATCAGAGTCTGGCTACCAGCATACATAATCAAGTTTACATTTATGTAAAACAGCAACACTGTACATTTTTAGCTAAAGACCATATTTAAAATGATTCTCACTTGTTATACAAGCAGTTGGACAAGCCCTGTTTGTCCCAAATAACTATGGATCTCAACATCTACTTATAGTTGGTACAATCGCTTCTTTGAGATTTTTTAATTTTATTTTTCATTCTTCGTGGAGAAAAGTGTGAGCAGCACAAAACTGCTTTGAGCGGCATTGGGTAGGTGTCTTGAAGCAAGCTTGCCTTACGTGTTACCTGACTGTTGCAGTCTACGTGATGCAGTAATTGAACCCTTAAGCCCAGTAATTACTTGGCTTTAAAAATTCTTCTGAATCCAACAGGTAATACGTATCTCTGCCAAGACTGGAGAAGGGATCTCAGATATGTGGGATAAAATGACAGAATTTCGCGACCTCATGCTCACAAGTGGTGAGCTGATTGCCAAGCGACGGAAACAGCAGAAAGTGTGGATGTGGAATCTCATCCAAGAAAATATGTTGGAACATTTCCGGAGTCACTTGGCAGTCAAAGATAAGATTCCACTTCTAGAAGAAAAAGTTCTTAGTGGTGTCTTGTCTCCTGGACTGGCAGCTGACCTGCTGCTGAAAGCATTCAAGGATGGTCTCTAATCATTATATTCTACTGTGTTCTTGCTAATTTCTTCATGTAAAATTAAATATTAAATATAGTTTTTGTATGTGTGATTTCAAATGTTTCACTACAATAGACACTAATGGAATACATATTTATTGGTATTAGTATGTATTAGTACTCTACCAAAAAAATACTGAGCAAAAAATGCTGTAGGATTCTGTATATGCAAAGCTCATGTGCATACACACTCAGAGACTACTACACATGGTATTTGGTCAACTATACTTTTTTTGAGTCTGTCCTCATCAAGGATTTGTTGGTCAAAAATGTGAGCCTCTGTCAAAATGTGACTGGCTTTGAAAGGGTGAGTGAGAGGTTGGTGCAGCAGTTTCATTGTGAGACTGTCTTAGAGGTGATAAACACTTCTACTTTCTGTTCTGATTTACTTTTTTCTTCCTCATGAGTCTCTGCAAGAACATTGGGCCTGCTGGTAGCACCTGACTGGTGTCTTAGTTTTAAATACATTGTATGCATATAAAAAGAGTTCAATCACTGTTGGGAAGCTATAGCTATATATGTATATGATATATATATATATAGCTATAGCTAATACTTATTGTAAGCTGCAAGAGGAGAATTGTACCTATCATAGATTCTAACTGGATGTTTTAATACAAAAGCACAGTTTAATTAGACATTTTAAAATACACACATATGGAACAAGTGCCATCCACCAGGTTTTTAATCACAGCTCTTTTTATACTAGAATAATTGATCTCTTACTTGGTCTTATTTGACTGAAGTAAGCTTTTCGTATTCAAACAAAATGCCTACTTTTCTCCTCTCTTGTAGATGACATGACTATTTAGGACTAAAGTACTTAAGAGCTGGGGTTCTTTTTTTATTTATTTTTTATTTTTTTTAAGGTAGATTTCTCTTGGGAATGCATTTGGAGGTATTCATGAACTGGAAAGCAAGGTTATCTTTTCAGTATGAAGAGTAAAATAGGAAAATGCTGATTTCTTGAGGGCAGACAAAACATTAAATTAATAGGAGTTTTAATGAGTCTACTATTGCTTATATGAATTAACAAAAGGCATTAGGTGCTATTTTCTGTATGCATACTATAGTATGTAAGATAGTGGTGTGGGGTTTTGTTTGTTTGTTTGTTTTTGTTTTTTAAATTTAAGTTCAATATTACCTGTTTGGATTCCTAACAAGTGTGCATTTTGCAGAGCATTTGTGTTCTGGCATCCTGAGTCTAGATTTCTCAAACAATTCTAGGGTAGCAATGACTTGGTTTCCTTTGGTTCTATTTTTTTTTTTCCTTCCTATTTTTTTTTTTTTTTTTCTTCTGGAGACATTTTTTTCTCTTCCCCGTGTTTCAGTTGTTATATTTTGTTCTCAGCTAAGTCTGCTTTATCTTGCTAGACCTCTCTACTTCCTAGTTTTCACTCCTTCATAGGTGTAATGCAACTATCAGAAAAGATTAATGAATGAAAATGCTGAGGATTTTTTCCCTTTGCTTTGTCTTATTAAGTATTTAAGTGCTTATTTAAGTAGCATAAATTAAACGATATAGAAATATCCATGAAGCTGCTAACATTTCAGTTACTTCTTCCATTGTATGAGGGTTTATGTTTTGTTGTCCATATATCTTACTCTGAGAATATGAAGAATGAACAGAAAGTAAAATGAAACTGCAACGTAAAGTAAAAATATTTCATAATTTTTAGCAAGGATCCTTTTGAATTTTTGTAGTGAAATACCAACAAAGAGCATTGTGGGCTTCTATAGGACATGAAGCCAAAGCATTTCTTTATTAAAACATTTGGCACCAGTGTAGCTGATATTAGTGATTTCCACCACATAGATTGTCAGCACTTCAGTATTCTAACACCACTTATTTCTTAAACTTTGCATCCCCAGTGAGTGATTTGGGATTACTGCAATCATTTATGTAGAAGTACCTGGAGAGGAGTGTTTAAGGGGTGGCTGAAGAACAGGGCCTTGATTATTGCCTTTCTGCATTAGAAACTGTAAAAGTGCTACTTTTTTTTTTCACTTTAAAAAAAAAAAAAAAAAATTAAAAACAGTTTAGGTCTCTATTGAACGTGACAAAAAGTACCCCAAACCAAAAGCAATGTCTTTCATCCTCTCAGTTTTAAAAATTAACAATATTGTGATGGTACCTAGTAGCAGAAAAGACGAATGGAAAATGAATGAATGACAGCAGCAGTATTTTAACTGGTAAGTGCTCAACTTTTTGATAGTCCATTTGTTTCAGGTGACAGTGTTTAAAGTGACCTTGCTTGTACTTATCTGCTAGATCAACTCTTGTTGGTCATTATTTTTTTTTTTTTTTCTGGTGTCAGAGACTGCTTTATTCTTTGTCTTCTACATGGGAACTGTCAGGCAAGTAAAATAGAACTTGTGGCTTTGTTTAACTGAGGGCTGTTGTAGTAGAATAGTTATTCAAGATTTGTTTTCTGGACCCAGATCTATGTATCTACTCAAGCTATGGGTCATTATTTTCTTGTTTTGTTGCTCCTCTTAAAGTATAGTTAATTTGCTAATGAACACTTCAGATAATGCAGTGGTTTAAGCAAATTCTACTTTTCGTTCAGCTGCCTTTTCCTCTTAAATGAGAAGAATTAGATTTGTTGTCTTGATGTGTTTGTTTGTGCCTCATGCTTCAGTAGACAGAGAAATGCTTCATGCTGACAAGGATCTGCAGAAATGGCATAGTAGGTAAGGGTCCTTGCTTTGTTTTTCTGTAAGTCCTCTACCAAATTGAAAACCTGTACTGCGTGAGCTATGAGCTGAGCCTCGCATGTGGGAATTAGATTGTTTTCTAGCTGGTAAAATACAGCCACAAAATGTTTTGAAGCCAACTATTCGTTTAGATGTGCTGTTTTCTTTATGCCCTCACTGACATAAACAAAATGACGAAGCGCATTGTGTTCAGAAGGACTGCCTAACTTGAGCTGGTAGGCTAGAATTTAGTAAACAATTCAGTATTTCCTGAGATGGGAAGTACAGCTCATCAATTCTACACCAAGCAGTGTAAAGAAGTCATATAACTGTATGAGAAAATAGCAAGATTGCTAGAGAACACAATGAGCTGTTAAATTGTTATGGGAGGTGAGGAACAAACTTTCCAGATGCATAAACTCTTGTGTCCTATCAAGTCTTGCAGTTATATCTAAGTGTGAAACTTTTCCCCAGGTCCCTGTATAATAGATGTTGGTGCTGTTTCACAGCTGGAAAAACAAGTGTGAGATAAGTGATTTACTCAGACCTCTGAAGCAGGTCAGTAGAGTATAAGGGTTACAGTTCAGTAGTCTTTATTCTGAGCCCCATGTATATTTACGTCTGTGTTACTTAAGGTTGGAAAAATGCTCTTAGCAAGTTCATGTTCCCAGTGTGACTTATTCCTTTCATATCTAATCTCTCTGTCTTCAGCGACAGGACACAGTGACCCCTTCATGACTACTGTTCTGCAGTAATGTCCTACTTTAAATTGTAGAAAACTTCTCTCTGAAAATTAGTCTGCCTTCACCTTTTTGTAATTTCATGGCTTCCTGTATATATGCTTGCTCAGTTTTTTTGCTCTCCTTGAGTATGTTGCTAATATATCAAATTGCAGTGTTTTACATTTCTCTTCATGAGTTTTGAGATCTCTTGGGGGAGGCTGAGCAAAGCTAAAGGATACACATGAACTTTTTAAAAAAATCAGTCTCATGTAGTATCGTTCCTAAAGTTTTATTTCTTAGAGTTACTTGGCAGGACATAATTATTGATCTAGTCTGTTCTGATACAAACATACCTATTTCTTCTTTTCTTGCTCATTGTTATATTGTTCCCTTCCTGAATGCACAGTCAAGATATAGCATTATCTGTGAGTTAAAATGAGAAACGTTCTTCCAGAGCTTAATGCTTCCAAAACTATTCGTGCTGGACATTTTGAAGCAGATCATTGGAGATATAATTGAACAGGGGTAGATAAAAGGTATATTTAAAGAGAAATCAGTGGGTTTCCCTGGAACATACAACTTGAACAATCTACAGTGTACAACTTGATACAGGGTTCCTCTTGCAAAAAGGAGATCAGGTACTCAGTGGTAATACCCTTATAGTTTTAAGCTCTGCTCCACTACTGAAACACTAGAACATTAACAACATTTGTGGATTGAGAATATATATATTTTTTTTTTTAAGGGAGAAATTGTTAACCAGTTACAGTACATTTTTAGAATGGAAGTATGATAGGCATATTCTGTTTCCTGCTGCCACACCAGAGAATGGTTCAGCTGATGAAGAAACAAGCAGTAGAGGAGCTGACGTTCACAGTAGTCTAGGCAGAAGAAGCATCAAGGAGAAGCAATCAGGATGTCTGTTCTCTTTTGAGAGCATAAGGATTATAGTCATTTCACTGGCGATCCTCACAAACTGATGTGATACACACAGCATTTGCTGGGTGAGGCTTACAAAAAAGAGTGGTCAGGTTTTGGAATGGGCTGTTCAGGGAGGTGGTAGAGTCACTGTCCCTGGAGGTGTTAAAGAAATGTTTCGAAGTTGTACTAAGGGATTTGGTTTAGTGGGGAAATATTGGTGGGTGGTTAGGCTGGATTATTTTGGAGGTCTTTTGCAACCTTGGTGATTCTATGATAAATTCCCTTTTCGGTTTTTTGGATTTGTTAAGAGGAACTAGTCTAATGTAGAGGGTTATACTTTGGAACTAGGTGATTTTATTTGTAATCTGATTGTTGACTTGCAACAAGAAAACAAAAGCTTTACTTTTCAGAACTTTTTTTTTCAGTTTCCCTTCATGCTGAATTTCATGTATTCTTCCTTAAAATACTGTGACAAGGTGGTTTATCTGCAGTATGCTAATTACTTTCAGTGTCGTCTTTTTCTCTTATGCTTAGGTCTTTCCCTAGTAGAGTAGTGAAAAAACAGCTTGTTCAATTATTGCCTTTTAAAATTATTTAGATAATCACTGATTGGCTTTAACCAGTGATTAGCTTTATGAGTAACATTATTTTTGTTTTGCTTCTTATATTGAAAGAAACCTACACCTACAGATTCTCGTGATTATGCTGACTCGCAGTGTGGCTGTGATAGCTGAGGATGCATAATGTAAGTACAACAAGAATACTTGTGTGTTGTGTCAGATACTTGTGTGGCTCAGGGCTTTATAGACACACAGCTAACGGTTTATCTTGGCCTGAAACTGTGGCTCTAAGATACCATTTGTAGTTTTTTAATTGCAACCAGTGGAAGAAAAGGGTAACGTTAGTTTTTATGCTTTGTTGCTTAGCAGCACTGATCAACAAAAGTGCAACCTTTTATTTTCTTCTAACTCCAATGAACCTTGGCTTGTACAGAGCTCACCAGCAAAAGAGAAGTATTTCTGAAGTCATGTGAAACTGTTGTTCAGTGCTTGCTAGCAGCATTTATGAGAAACCATCTCTTCTTGACCCCTTAATTACCCTTGCTCTGTAGTCTTCTTTCTCTTCCTCATCAAACCTTTGAAGAAAACGGGCACCATCCTGGGAAGGATGGGAAGCTTAGAGATGATCCAGCTGTGCTGTTTTCTATCACTTATAGGGAAAAGAGGCCTAGCTAATCCCCAGGCTGTATGTCTCCACTCATGGAAGGAGAAACAGACTTCAGCCATTACAGTAAGATTTATTCTCATTTAGAGAAGCTTTCTCAGTACTTTGGAGTAAGCAAAATACTTGATAGAGTGAGTGGAGATGAGGGTGCCAAGAATTTTCTGTTCTACATCTCTTAGGAGGCATTTTGCAAACTGAACTAGAAGGGACATTGAATGTGTTTGAAAATAATTAAGTGTCTGCAATGAGTCAGGACAGCTTTTTGTTTTTTTCACCTCTGATCAAATTTGGCAGGTCCTGGAAGGTAAGAGCAAGTTGGAAGTTGCATGTTTCGCCTTACTTCTAAGTTATAAATTGTTAGTCTATCTGAACAGAAGTTTTATAGTGACATCACAAACTACAATACTTAGTGTGACTTAGATGCCAGAAGCATATGCTAGGAGCTGTTTAACCCAGGTGCTTATCTTTTAATTCTAGAGCTAAGACACAGCTAAACATACTGTATTTTGCTTAGTTTTCCTGCCCAAAATATTATGAATAAGAGATGTCTGTAAGCTTGTGGATGTTAAGTGGAAAATAATACTTGCCGAGGCTGTCAATGTTCATCTGTTCTCCCTTCACCTCCACTACTGACTTCTGCCCTTAACCTTCAAGATTTGTTGATAGCTGATAACAGTATAAGTTAAGCAGTTTGGGCCAGCATAGTAAAAGGTCGGCATGTGTGCCAAAGCCCATTTGCTCTGCAGTCTCTTCTATTCTGAAATTCAAAGATAAGCTTTCTTGATCAACTGTCCTCATCTCATAAAATTCTTGACGAGGACTACTGTTGCTTGAATTGGACAGTTAAGATCGGATACTCACTTCAGAAAGGGGAGCCACACAAGAAACTCGTTTGTCCTGTGTATCACATCAAAAGCATGACATCTTTGGCACCTTGCAGAGCTCAGTGAAGTGAAATAAACAGCAAAGTGGAATATGAATTACTTTGCAAAATTTTCTGTTATAAAAATCTGGCTTTTTTTCAAATTGCACAGATCTTAGCAAAAACTGATCTACCTGGAGATCCTGCCTGCTGCCTGCCTGAGACTATGAGAGATTCATTGTCATGCCCTTGCTTGCTGAACAGAGCACATTTTTTGAGCTTAATTCACTCACATTTTGAGTTAATGTGATTTATTTATTTTTTTTCCTGTCTAGTGAACAACTGCTGGTTTTTCATGCATGCAGGATTCAAAACAAGTAGCTGAACTCATGTTTTGAGCTTCTGATTTAAGGGAGAAGGAATGAATTTTGGTCAAAATCAATAAGCTTTTAAAAACAATTTCAGTAAAAGCAAAGTCATTTTTGTTGTTCTTAAATGTTGTGGTGCAGAATACTTAACTGGATGAGATGGCAGTAGAAACTAAGTAGATTTGAAAATCACTATTTCCAATTTCAGGTAATTAAAATATTATCATCTTTCACCTTTCCTTTACCTATTCTTTGTAATGTATAATTTTCTTATGAGTGAAATAATGTCTTTACCATGTCATTACTTCTTAGTGCTGTCATCTCCACATCTGTACAAGTGGGCTGACAATGCTCACAGTGCTGCACAAGTAAAAGGCGCTGTGTATTTTATTTCTGTACCAAGATTAACCGGTTCTTCTGATTTAAAAAAAATACATATATTTTGAAGAGGGAAATCTCATTTTCATCTCTTGCAGGGTGCATTTAGCTTTTAGATTGGCTTCAGCCACCACTCCACAGTTATTTCCATTCTGCACACAGTTGCACAATTTCCTGGCTGTGTATCTGGAAATGCTACTTTTTCTTTACATCCTGACATCAGGAAAGGATGGCATTTGAGCACATAATTAAGTGCGATTGAATAGGGGCTTAAAAGACAGGCCACCTGATTTTTGTCCCATTAGTGAGTCAGTTTCCCACTTTTGAGGTAGTTAAATTTCATATACAATGAGACAGGAAATTTTGAAGGGGAACTAGAATAATTAAAGTAATCTTGTCTGGCCCATTGCCAACTCTTTCATCTTGGAAAACATCACTCTATAGATGTGCACAGATCCTGTAAAGAAACCTAATCTGGAAATCTCTCATGTAATATTTTGAACATGTATCCCTTAGTGAACATCTAGAGTGCAAGGGCATTTCTGTTGAACAGTTTGAATGAGTTTAATCTTGTAATTTTTTTCCTTATTGGCTCCTGCTTAATATTAAGACCGCATTAAATGGTTCCTCAGATTAGTGTGATGTTTCCTCACGTGGATTTCATCATAAAATCAGAAAAAAAAAAGAAAAATACAAGCAAGACTTGTATAAGAAAAGGGAAATTACATTGAAAAGGTGAAATGGAGGTTTAGATATTGTACAGACTAGATAGAATGAAAACTGCTCTTGCTTTTCAGTTTCATTTTCTAGATTCTTCTCGGTGAAACAGTGACAGTGATTTACAGAGAAAACAAAATTACTTAGGACGTTTTCTTACAAAGAGAAAACTGAAAAGCACTCGGTGTGTTAGGGAACTTGAAAGCTGACTATGAACAGCTGCTGCCTTTACATCTCAGTTGCAGGATGTACAGAGAGCCCTTAGGTGGTGCTCAGTAGCAACGCTCAGCTCTTCAGTGCAGCGTCTGAGGTGGCAGCACCTCCACGAGGTCAAATCACTTTAGGGGTGCTTTTACCCTGTCTGAGGGTATGCTCTAATGATGTGGTGAAAGGCTTCCTTTTGAACACTGACTTTGGACTACTGATGAAATTCAAATTCAATTTTTTTTTTTCCCATGAAGTTTTCAGGTGAAATAAAATTCCAAAGTGTTGCACAAATAAGTTGTAGGAACGAAACGGGCCGCTGGGGCCTGGATTCACATCAGGGCATTCCACACAGTTAAGAGCCCTCTCTCTTGTAGAGGAAACATTCTTTCTTTTCAAAATATTATGCCCAGTGACTGGCTGGATAATGTGCATTCCTGTCCTTTCTTTTCTGTATAGCTAAGGATCCATAGCCTAGATCTAAAACTGTGCATTTGTTAATGCATGTAAACATAGATGAGCTATCTCTGGGCATTTCTAATTAAAATCAGTAAATGCAGTCTGTCAGTAGAGGCATATAAATATTAAATTTGAACATAGATTTTAGTAACTACCCTAATTTAATTCTTATAAATAGTGAAGTCTCTTATTAAGAGTGTGTCAAATATGTTGCTGTCTGTCCATGAAACAAAGTGCTTTTGAATAATACTAGAGATTTTTTGAGGGCATTTGAGGATCATTGTGATGGAAGAACAGTATTCAGTCTACTTGTGTAAATAGAGATGTGTTACCGTGGCTTTCAGGTTAAATCTTCCATGCTGTGGAACATGCTGTATTTCTGAAGAGGTGTTGGATCAGGGATGCAGATCTGAGGGTGTGAGTTGTGCTGTTAATTACACAGAAATTGAAATGAAATTTCCTTGAGCAGGATGGATCTCAAGCCATGAAATAGATTTTATTTGGAAGCTGTTAGTGAATTTATGAAAGGAATTCATTTGACATCTCAAATACTCTATTGGAACCTAATCTTTTCTTTTGTAGTGAGGCAGGAGAAAAGTGAGATGTTAAAAATAACTTGATCCCTGCACCTTGGAAAAGAGCTATGTGAATGCAATTTACTAAATTAGGAGTAGAACCTTCCTGTCGTTTTATTTTGTGTTTATTCATGTTCCTGTATTTCGGGAATGGATCAGATTGCTTCCCACCTTTTACCACAATTTGAGGGGTTTGAGCCTAGGAGTACCCTGCCAAAGCAAATTAAATAATTCATGTTTCCAGCATGACTTCATTTAGTCATGACTTTTATTTATTTAGAGAGAGTGAGAGAGAAAGAGCTGGTGTTGTTATAATCTCAGCTCTGTTTTTTTAATCTCTGTAACTTCCTATAACCCAACTATTTTTTTTGACCTTTGAAATGTACCAGACTGCATAAACTGAATATCCAGCGTGTGTTCTGCTTGTCCCAGTAACTTTCATTCTATGGTCTCTGCATGCTGTTATTATAGGTGTATATTTTACCCTTATGTGAGTTGCTAACGTTACCCAAAATTCTGCTGGCATGTAGCTGGGAACAAGTACTGAGGTTATTTTTTTTTTTTTTCCTTGTGTATTGAGAAAGTCCATAGCTAAATTCACAAGCTAAGTGTTACTAGGTGGTGACTTGCAGCCTAAATGCAGTGGTTATAAATTCTCACCTGAGAAAATGGAATCCTGTAGCCATGCAGTATGTTCTCTCAGCTGCAGCTGAATTTCTGCCATATTAAAATCCTTAAGCAGCAGTATGTCACATTGATTTAGCATTTTGCTTTCTCAAGGCTCTGTTCAAATATTTGAACTCAGTAAAGCACTCCACCATGCTTAGAGTGAGTGAGTGTCACTAAAATTTTACAGAAAAAGAAATAACCACCAAGAGGTTAAAGCAGCTTTACCTCTCCATGCAGCAAGTCAGTGGTGGAGCTGGAATTACAGCTTGCGAGGCTTCTGGCTCTTGCT